GAAAATGAAAAGAAGAGGAAGCGTCTCAGGAGACCCCGAAGCTGAGCCCTGGTCACCTGGGAAGTAGATCTTGGGTTCAGTCCTGAGTGTGTGGGGTGCTTGGTGGAAACGTGGACCTTCAGTCTCGAGTGTCCCTGGCCGTCGGGGGCCTGGAGGCCGGGATGGCCGGGGTGTTGGCTGTAGGGCCTGGTGGACCCCACCAACTCAGGTGTCGTGGTCCCAGCCAGCACCACCAACAGGTGGCTTGGCTCTGCTCAGAAAGTGGTGCTCCTGCGGGTTCCACTGGAGTCCCACCGTGTTCCACGAGGTTCTACTCCTGGAGTGACTTAGATGGAGATGGAGGTGAAGCATCAGCTCCCACTCAGAGCCATCACTACGGATGTGAAAAGGATCTGAGGATATTTTGAAGAGCTTTATGTTAATAAGTTTGTCAATGATAAAGAAATAGAGAAATTCCTGAAAGACAGGCATGACCGTGGCTCTCCAGTGGAGGACTTCTTATCGGGACAGCCCTGGGCTCATGCACGAGGAGAAGTGGCCCAGGCCGCTTTCCTGACCGGTCCCACCGACCACTGAGGAAGATGAGCCCAGCTCTACGGCACGTAGAGAACACTGTGGTTTGAATGTGTCCTTTGGGTTCACCAATAAGAAAAGGCCCACGGGTGGTGATTGGCATCAACTGAGGTCCTGAGAGATGGCCCCAGAGAAAACGAGTGACCTTATCAGACAAGGAGGACGTTCACCAGCCAGCACCCTTGCTCTGACTTGCCACATGGTGCCCTCTGCCACATCACGATGCAGCAAGAAGCCCAGCAGACTCTGAGCAGATGCTGGTGCCATGTTCTTGGACTTCCCAGCCTCCAGAACTGTGAGGCCCACAACATTACCTTCTTTACAGATTATCCAGCCTCAGGTATTTTGTTACAGCAACAGAAAGGGGACTTAGATATAGGACAATTAGAGAAGAGGAGGAAATCCTTCCCAATCCATTTCTGAAGTCAGGAAGTCCTCTGAAAGGAAAACCCAACAAAGATATTACCAAAAAAAGTACAACCACAGTTTTCCTTCATGCACACAGATGCAGAAATCCTCAAGGGAATGCGAGCAGGTTGAATCCAACCGTAGATAAAAGGATGCTCCATCATGGCTGGCTACATTCGCTCCAGGAGTGCAAGGTGCATTTAACACTGGAAGATCAAACAGTGTCGTTTCTAATGCCTGCAGATTGAAAAGCAGAAAAGCCTGATCGTCTCAAAAATATCAGGAACTGTTTGAGAAAAATCCAACACACGTTTATCATAAAAACTCAGAGCACACTGCAAGTGGAGAGGAGCATTTCCAGCCTGACCAAAGCATCCCCAGGGAAGGTCCACCTTGGTACCACGTGAACCAGTGAGCAGGCGCTCTCCCCAAGCCCAGGTGAGCACAGGGCCTGCGCACCCCCTCCACAGCACGGTCGGGTGATCAGAGGCGAAAAGGAGAAAAGCATCCACAGAAATACAATCAAGTAGAAAATTCTCAGGAATCTTTAAAAAAAAAAAAAACCTAATGAAACAGATTTAGCAAAATTTCAGAATATAAAGTCAAGTTTCTAAAATGCTCTATGTTCCCGCAGACTAATGATAGAGAACTCACGTTGAAATCGAAACCTGCGTGTGTGTTTTATATGTGAAAAACATCAATCACTAAAAATTCAGAGATAAATTTAATAAAATATGGGCGAGACCTGTATGTTGAAAACCACAAGATTTCGCTGAGATAAGGGTTGAAACAACCAACCCTGGTCTCGGGGAGCCTGCCGTCTAGTGAGGATGGGTGATGTGTAAGATGGGGGAGTGAAATGTGTCTCGTCTTAGATGAGGACTGGGTCTAGGACTTAACCCAGAAAAGGCCATTATAGAAAACTGGCGGCAAAGCTCTTTGTTCTCTGCCTATGGCCGTCGGGGGACAAGAAAGCGTCACTTAGAGGTGGGTTTGAGGAAAATCTAAAAGGATGGGGGCACCAGAACATTCCGGCCAGAGGAAAGGAGGCTCAGGGTGGGGGCCCTGCGTGGCCTGGGCAGGTGTGGAGGCAGGCATAAGAGGTGGAGTGGGCGGAGGTGGACAGGCTGGGAGCGGGCAGCCAGGCAGTGCCTACAGGCCTCCACTTGGCCTGCTCCTCCGGTGGGGTGGGAAGCCGTGGGAGCCGGGCAGTGACTTCCACACCAGATGCTGGCCCTGATGGCTGTGGTGGGACCGGATGCCACTCGGGCAGAGAGGGTCTGGGAAGCCGGAAGTTCACTGCAGCATCTCAAGAGCAGTGCCCAGCCTCGGGGTGGGGGCCGATTCTGCCTCGACAGGAAACCAGCAGTGATTTCTGACCGCTGGACAGGAGGCGTGCAGAGCAGAGTGAGGAAACTAAGGCCGTCAGCCGCCAGGGAGGGGTGCTCCTCCTGGAGGGGAGGCGGAAGATTCCAGAAGCTGGGTTGGGGACGGAGCTGGGGTATGCATGGCGATGCCCCCTGGACACCAGGAGAGCTTCAGGGAGGCAGTGGGATCCGCAGTCTGGGGTCCAGGTCAGGCCCGCCAGGTGCAGATGGCCTGGAGGACTCTCAGCGGAGCCTGGAGGACTCTTAGGGCCTGGAGTCTGGATGCCGGCACCTGGGAAGTGGTTCTTACCAGAGAAGTGAGGCGCCCCAGGTCAGGGAGACCAAGGGAAGCAGGAGAGAGCCGGGAGGGAGGCCTGGAGCCAGGGCACGTGCCCAGGGCCAGGGCAGATGCCGAAGGGGCTCTGAGGAGGGGTGTGCTGGGGGTGAGCCAGGAAGCTGGAGAGGAGCGGTTTTGATTGGCAGGTGAAACAGGAGAGTGGGTTTGAGAGAGAACGGGGGTGAAATCGGGGCACGGGAAACAGCTCTCGAGGGGTGGCAGGGGCGGGAGGGGGAGTTTCTGAGGACAAAACCCGTCATCTGCACCATAGATAGGGAGCCAGCGCCCTGTGGGTGGGGACATGGGCCCTCGGCCGTCAGTGCAGCACCTCTAACACCCTGGGGCCACACTGAGTAAAGCACCTGTGCGCCCAAGGATGGGAGCCTGTGGACATCACAGGGGGTGCGAATGCCCAGCGTGGTTTTGGAAAGCAGTCGGGCAGGAGGTTGAATCAAAAATGAAAACAGCAAAAAAAAAAAAATCCTGGCTGACCCTCACTCCCAGCCTTGGTGGCTGCCCTACAAACTCCCAGTCTGGGACGGCTGTCATCCCACAGACTTGAGACCCCTCAGGGAGGGCCCTTGGTGGTCCTTCTTCACAGGCTGGTGACTGCTGCGGTCAGGAGGCACCGTCCATCCCTCTGGTGTCCTGAGCCCCAGGTCTGTATCTGCAGATCCACCTTCATGACCAAATTTATGTGTATCCCCCGCAGCACACACTCCTGCCGTCCTCCAGCACAGCGGGAGGAAAGGGGGGCCGTCTGGGGCTGGGCTCCGGCTGAGCCCGCAGGAGAGTCAGCTGCCTCCTCACGGCGCTCTGCCGCCTACGACTGTGCGTGGTGCACTCGGGTGTCCTGTGGAGCGCTGGGCTTCTCCACCTGCTGTGTTCTTGGGCATGTCCACTGGTAAAAGGCCCCCAGGCAAGGGCTGAGGTGCCTTCCAGCATCCTGGGTAGGGGAAGGAGTGATGTGTCTCACAGAGAGCACCCTGTGGTCAGCCTCTCTGGGCGCCGTGGGCCGGGGTCAGTGCCCGGGGCCAACAGCATGCCAGAAGCACACAGGAAGCCAGGCCAGGCCTTGGTCAGTGTCACTGGGCACGGGAAGGCTGGCTGGAACCCAGGCCCGTGATTCTCCCAGGGGCGATGGCTCAGTGTCCAGACTGTGTTTCTGGTGACTTCGTGGGGTGTGACCACCAAGAGGAACAAGACTGCCGCCGTGAGCAAGGACCGAGTGAATGAGTGCAGTGGCCAGGGTGGTGTCAATGAGCGCCACTCCAGACAGACCAAGCCCCTGAGTGACACCACCTCCAGGGTCTCGCTGCATCAGGAAACAGCAGTGTGACGTCACCCGCCCTGTCTCCCTGCTTCCTGGTGTGATCACCTGAGCACGCACAGAGTGACAGCAGCGAGGACGCCTGGCCGAGGCCAGGCAAAGTGACGTGGTGGGTGACCACCTGTTATGCAGTGAAGACATATGACATAGAAAGTGACACCAAGTCCTCTGTGCTAACTCGTGGGGACGCCCACACAGGGTCAAGAAAGGTGCCGAGGCGCGTGTGCCACGTGGTTCTGTTTTAGTGGCAACTCTGCGTGATACACGCTGCTGGGTGTGAGAAGGAAGCAGAGGCGCTCTCCCAGGCCTGCGGGGGGTGGGGAGTCTGCCAGTGAAGGTGGTGTTTGAGGTCTATCCGTCTGCTTTGGTAGACACAGTTACCATTGTTCTGTTGAATTTTTTTAAAAAAATTGAAAAAGCATCAGTGAACTAAATGCTGTTCTGCTAACAAAGAAAGGCTGCACCCAGTTTTTCTCTTTCCACAGTGTTGTTGGTGCCACGTTGAGTACACAAGGGTGGGAGTGGTTGTAGGTTCACACACGCACACGTGGCCAAGGTCATCCCCAGGATCCCCCCCCTCCTCCCTCCTGTCCCCCTCCTCTGCCCACCTCCCTGTGATCTCAGGAGACCCTCCGTCACCCTGTTCTTTTCCTTTTCCCCTGTAGCCTCCGTCTATGAGAGAAGACTGTGAGTCTTGCCTTCTGAGTTTAGCTACTTCATGTGACATAAGTTTCCCAAGTTCCCTCCATTTCCCTGCAGACGACGTGATCCCATTCTTCCTCATGGCTGAGTGACCTCATGGTGTGCACACTGCTCCACTCTTCACCCACCAAGGCCGCCATCTTTAGTAGACATCGGCCAGGTGGCTGCTCACCAGTTTCACTGGCAGATTTTGAAAATGGCATCATCAGCGTGTTCTACTACAGGATTCTGAGTTGTCACCTACGACACTCTATAAATAATTCTGTTTTTCTTTTTCTTTCAGGAATCATTAAGAGCCATCAGATACGAAATCTCTCCAGATAAGAAATATGCACTTTTTTCATATAACGTGGAACAAGTGAGTACCTCCCTTTTCTGTCTACAAAGAAAATCCACATCTCTGTTCTGACGCCTCATTGGATATATTCCCTTGAACCTTACTCTTCCTGAGTTTTGAGTCCTGAAATCCTCTGTGGCCCTGGGGTTGTGTGGTACTGCCACCTAGGAGAGACGGAAGGTACAGAAACTTCCTGGGCACAGGAAGAGACTCACTTAGGAGCCGTCTCTCAGGTCTTCCTGGGAGATGGCCTCGACCTAGAGGTCCACCTCTCCTGGCTGGCACCCTTCCTGCATTATGTGAAACCCTGCCCTCCACCCTGACCACAGAAGGCACTTCCATCCCCCACACACGAGTGCCTCGCCTCCTGGTGCCCTGCTTGGGGAGAGCGGCGCTGTGGCTCCCATGTTATAGAAACGCCGTCCTCGGCACTGTGTACCGACATCTCATCACGTGCTGCCAGAACTCTCTGCGAATCTCGCTCTGGGCTCGGGAAGCAGCCTCAAGCTCCCGAGCCTGGGTCTTTTTTCCTTCTTTCCTCCCTCCTTCCTTCTTCCTCCTCTTTTCTCTCCCAACTTTGTTCCTCCAAATGTAGTTTTTGAATCTTACTTGAAGGCTCTATTTCTTATTGGGTGTTTCAGATTCACTCCTCCAAGTGCAGACTTTTTCCGTTCCATGTCCAGTCTGTTGGTTTATTTTGCTCTCTAGACGTCTGTTGTCTGTAAGAGTCTGGATAGAGAAATAAGAACTGGGCATCTTGGTCTGTTGGACTGGGTGCAGTTGGTGAACCTGACACCCTCCAGGGCCGTGGCTAGCTTTGGGACGCCGCGTCTCCTGTGCTCACCGTCAGCTGGCTCTGGGCGTGCAGTGCCTGGGCACCGCGTCCTGGCATCCCTAGATCGTGCCTGTGTCGTGTGCTTCGCCTCCCTTGGAAACCGCCCAGACCGTCACTGTACACCCGAGTAAGGGACGGCTTCAGCAGAAGGACCCTCCTTTGGCTGCCCCAGGAGGGGGCAGTTAGATGCTCAGAAGGTTCGAGGTTCTGTAGCTAGACAGTCGCTCAGTCACCAGAGGACCCAATAGTGGGACGGGAAACCTTGTGAGGTCATGAACATCCTGCTCCCAGGAGCCTTGGGAATGAAGTCCCAGGCTGGTTCCTTGCACTTTAAGAATCTGGGAAAAACACAGTTGTCGAGTAGGTTTGAGAAAGAGTCAGCCCAAGCACAGATTTCCATTTTCTAGGCTGAGATACTTGCCTGCAGGGTGGAAAAATCATCCAAACCATGTTTTTATTGTTGTGGTCCAGACTTAGAGTTGGCAAAGTGTGTTGCTTTCCAAGGTCTTGTTTCTTCTCAAAAAATCATTGCTGCCCCAAAGAGCCAATGTTTGCTAAGTGAGTTTGTTTTGTTCTTTTGTAGATAAAAAGTCTTATCATTTCATAATGTACAGAATCTGGAGGATTCTCTTGAAACTCAGCTAGATGTGGGGGGAACACTAACTTTTATCTTGAAAACCATCCTAACTACTAATTGGTAAAAATTGCCTTGAAATAAACTCATTGAATTAGAACATCATGTTCCTTCATGCTGAGGGATATTTGACAAACACAGTTTTCAAAACTCTTTGGGGGAAGAAAAAAAAAGGAATTTTAAAATGCAATATTTTAGATCATTTTAAAATATTAATGCATTTTGTGATTTTCTAAAAGGAAAGAGAGATGATAACTGGAAAATATTTTTCCTTTAGAGAATAAGAACAAAAAGCCCCTGAACATGGTGAAGAATCTCCCGCAGAGTTTAAAGGCGTGAATGTGGGTCTGTCCTGTGGCCGGTGGAGCTTCGTTCTGTTGCAAACAGCTTTCCCCCCAGATCTCGTCTAAATCGAGGCCCAGTTGATGGCCTGGTCATTGAGTTGGAGAGTGGTTGGCGTGGGACGGATCTGTTCAGCTCTCTGCTGCTGCACAGCCAACCTCCCACCCACAGTGGCCTGCCGCACGCAGCATCAGTGTCGCCTGGCCTCTGAGGGTCAGGACCTGGGTCAGCTTAGCGGCTCCTCTGACCCAGAGGCCGTCACAGGACTGCAGGGGTCCACGGGGTAAGGAGCCGCCGCCAAGCTCCCTGTCCCCTCCCGAGCAGGACTCGGCTCCTCCTGCACTGTGGGCTCCTGGCCCGATCGCTGGCCACAGAAGCCTCTTCAGAGGACAGCCCCAGACATGGCCACCTCGGAGCAGCGAGCCAGGGTCACCAGGGTGGATGTCACAAATTCAATGACCTAATGTCAGATGTGGCATGCCCACGTGTTCTGTGGGTCAGAAACCAGCTCCAGGTCAGCCCACTCACCAGGCAGCAAGAGCAGGGACCCTGAGCCGTCTCAGACGTGGTGTCCCCTACCACCAGAGTCCCCGCAGGAGGGCCTGTCCTCACGTTTGCCTGGTGCCTAACTGTCCTGCGTCTGCTCAAAGGACGGGCTCTGTGCCTGCAGACCGTGATGAGCCCCTCTCTTTGTCACGTGGCCCTGGAGTTCCATGAAGGGAGGGAGGCAGGGGGTGAGCACAGCCAGGCCTTGAGAGGGCACTGGGCAGGAGTCGGGGCCCCGGTCCCTCGCTTCTTGGTGACACTTAGCTGACCGGGGCCAGACAACTGCAGCCTGTCTGTCAGAGAATGGAGATAATGGGCCGTTCCACCGTGACGCAGGGGTCTGTGAGCCAGTGGGGACAATCAGCTGAGTTCTGAACACATTCAACAGACGACGCGGAAGGTCCCCAGCCCAGACCTCGATAAGCAGAGAGTCCTCCACACTGTCGTCCTGTGCCACTATACACTCAGGCTGAGCAGGGACCTGCCTAGGCCCACAGAATGCAGTGCTGCCAGGACTCTCTCAGGAGCCCAGAGAAAGACTTTTGCTACTGTGCGCTCCCTACCTTCAGAGCCTCAGGTTCAGCCAGAAACATGCCTGGACGCGTCCCCTCTGGGGAGCTAGCACGTTTCCAAAGGGTGTTTAGGTTGTCCATGAAAAGGAGGGTTTCCTGGGGGATCTCCAGTGCGCCCCCTCCTCAGAGCAGCCTCCGCGTCCTCAGGGCAGAGGTCCCAGGCAGCCTCCTCCTCCTCAGGGCAGAGGTCCCAGGGCAGCCTCCTCCTCCTCAGAGCAGCCTCCTCCTCCTCAGAGCAGAGGTCCCCAGTGCAGCCTCCTCCTCAGAGCAGCCTCCTCCTCCCCAGAGCAGCCTCCTCTTCCTCAGAGCAGCCTCCTCCTCCTCAGGGCAGAGGTCCCAGGCAGCCTCCTCTTCCTCAGGGCCGAGGTCCCAGGCAGCCTCCTCCTCCTCAGGGCAGAGGTCCCAGGCAGCCTCCTCCTCCTCAGGGCAGAGGTCCCAGGCAGCCTCCTCCTCCTCAGGGCAGAGGTCCCCAGTGCCACCCCACCTCTCTCCTGCAGACCCTCCTGCTGAGTCCTGAGTCAACATGACAGGACAGGAGTTCCCCCTGCAGGAGTCTGAAGCTGTCCCCGGGGGACAGAAGGCCACTGTCCCTGCACTTGTGGGGACTGGTGCAGCTGGTTTTTCCAACTCAGGGACTGTGGAATCCATGATTCACGCGGAGCTTGAAATGCCCACAGGACGGTCCTGACGGTGCCCGTGTGTCTGTGTGTGTGTGTGTGTGTGTGTGTGTGCGCCTGTGTGTACGCGTATGTGTGTCTGTGGGCGTCGTGCCCCTGCTCCTGGGACTGCTGTCGATCTGTGAGAGGAGACGTTCAAAGACACCGAGACGTACCACCCGACGCAGCTCGGCTGTCAGCTCGGAGCCGGGTGTTTGCACTGACGTGCGACCGTGCCCAGTTGGTGGCCCAGCGCTGCAGACGTGCGATCCTGCGGTGCGGAGGCCGCCCTTGCTGAGATGTGGTTCTGTGCTGACCGCCTCCCTCCGCGTTGGAACCGCCGAAGTCTTTCCAGGAGTCACCGAGCAAAGCCTTCTTCGTCCTGGACTGTGGGACACGTTCACCTGAGCTCTCGTGTCCCTTTTCGGGGCCCACCCCTAGTGACCAGCGACTCTCGTGTTCGTGCTGCGGCAGCCGTGAAGGGCGGACTCTGAGCAGTGTGTCCGGCCACTCTGCAGCCGCCCTGCTGTCCGGCCCGAGCCCGGCAGCGGCTGTGATGGCGGGAGCCGAGGAACCCTTTCAGCAATCCCCCTCCTCCTGCAGAGAAGGTGGACCACCCACAGGACAGGAGCTGTCCCGGCCCCTCCTGGAAGTGCACCCGGACCCGTCGGCGTTTCTCAGAAGCCGCTGACGCTGGGTTTGTTTCTGAGCTGTTTCAAGCAGCTCTCCGTAGCCAGACTCGCCCTCACGGTTCAGATGGCCCTGCCAGCACGTGCCACCTTCCTCCTTAACTATGTGAGGCCACTTACCGTGACTCTCACCGTGGGAGGTCACTGAAGGTGCTCACTGACCTTTTGACATGTATGGTTCTGTGTCACCCGGAGCTAAGCACTGAGCGTGGGCTTCCCAGCACACGGGTGTCAACGCTCGCGAGGCCTCGGGGCGCCCTGCCAGGCTGAGTCGGATCCGAAGGCAGGGTGACAAAGGGAATGGGCCTGACAGACATGGCAGGAGGGGTGCTGCCTCCGGGTCTGAACTCGGCCGCTGGTGGTGGGGCCTTTCTCGTTTTTGAAAGTATAGGTTTCCAGCTTCTTGTTGGTGTTTGTGTCATTGTGCTATTATTTGAACACAAAACTGCTTCAAACTCTCTCTCTCTCTCTCTCTCTCTCTCTCTCTCTCTCTCTCTCTCTCTCTCTCTCACACACACACACACACACACACACACACACACACACGGAGTTTTTACTCTGGGGGTTCATTTATGTCTAGCTCTATTCAGGTTTTGGAGCTAAATTTAAAAGCACAGATGTCGACATAGGAAAAATGTAGCTCAAGCCATGATTCTTTCCTCAACAGTAGCAGGTGTGGAGACACTTCTGTGTGAGTGTGTGCGTGTGCCTGTGTATATGTGTGCCTGTATGTGCCTGTGTGTGCAT